ATCTCAACTAAGTATAACGTTTAAAATTTATATCAAATTTCAAACACCTAGAGGTATAAAAAAATCAAAGTCGAAAATTTAATGCTTGTCCACCCTGTATAGGGAAAAATACAAACCAAAATGTCTGTAAATATAAATTTTCAAACTTTATCAAATGTCAAACACCTTGAAATTTAAAAAATTTCAAAGTCACAAAAAAGTATTGACCACCCTGTATAAGGAAGTCCCAACAATAGATAAACTTTCAAGTTTATCTACCAAGAAAAAATTTTAAACAACTATTAAAAAAAAATTTAACCCCAAAGAAAATTCAGGTCCAAGCATTAAATCTTGACCGCCCTGTATACCAGGTTCAAAAATATATCAAAAATATCAAAACACACAGCTGACACATCTCCATTATATAAAATTGTCCAAATTCCATAGACCCAAATAATAATAAATAGAAATATCAAAAATAAGAAAGAGAATAAAAATTTCAGTCTTAAATCGTACCAAGAAAACAACAACTGTTTCCTCCTCTGTATCATGCCAAAAAAGATTAAACTACAAAAATTAATATCAGAAAATTACTTAGGAAAATTGTCAGACTCCAGTGAAATGTTACGAGTAAAAATTTCTCAAAGCCCCACGATTATGGGTGCCAAATTAAGGGTAGCGTTTTTTAAACAACTACCACTGCGAACGGCAGCTTTTCATCGGAGAGCAGTCGTGGATAAGGTATTTCACTAGAGAGAAAATTAATCAGTAATAATTAACAAAAGATATATAGATATTGGGCGCCAGGCATGTACAGAGAAAGAAAACACAGTTGTATAATACTTAAAACTAATGACTATATTTATTCAAGATGAATTCTGATAGTAAATAGCATTGTACAATTTTAATAATTATTATAGTGGTTATTTGTTGAGTAAAACTATGTATGTAAATAATATTAAATATGTTCTATGAAAAGACTATGAAAAAATACAATGCGTGTAACGTTATAGAAAATATAAGAAAAGTAGCATTCCTCTATTTAAATTGTTAAACTTTATGCAGTGTTAAATCTGATATGTTGCAACCTGTAGATTCTAGAATCTATGTCTCGTTATTCATCTGTTAATATAGTGCAATAATATCTATAGAAAGTAATACTACTACAAGGCGTAATATAATGAAACCTAAAATCTAAATCACATTGTAACTACTGAATCGACACAAATGTTCTTAACAATCTAACCACTAAATATAGTCTGTACGATATTATTTAAAATGTACGTTATTGTTTAAGACTGAAAATATAGAAAATCTAAAACATAAAAAACTAGAACGTAAATCTACTAGCTGTTCAATTATCGAACGTAAATCACTTAGCTGTTCTTTATGTAATCTTGCTTCAAACAGTAGCAGCGTGAGGTGGTCTCGCATCTCTGTACTCAGCCATCCAACACAACCAAAGGGGCCAGAATGAGACACCATAAATTGGTACAGCCGTAACTAACTAGCTTACAGCTGGGAACAAAGCAGCATGAGACTCAAGCTACATCCACGCTGTGGCACTTATATGTAAGAAAAAATCATTCTTACTGGGGACACTCGTCCACAGGACATCCGTACATAAAATAATGGTCGTACATAAGACACTACCCGTACCTTGGACACAGTCCGTACTTTGGAAATAGTCCGTACCTTGGAAATAGTCCGTATCTTGGACACAGTCCGTACCTTGGAAATAGTCCGTACCTTGGACACAGTCCGTACCTTGGACCCTAAAAATATGAAACTCTTGTTTAAAACCAAACAAGGTCTAATAAACAAAATAAACCTACCTCGAAATACTTCCGAGGGCTCAATAAATAATAAACAACGTGTCCTTTCTTCCATGTGACATTCTGGAGGACAAAAGAAAAGGGACGCCAACGTGCCAGCAAAACACAAATACAAGTTGGGACATCCGTAACTCTACCCTAAAAATATTCAATAATAATATCGAATCTAAAAGGATAATATTTCATCTTTACCTGTTGCTTTGAAATAGCAGCTGATTCAGATTATACAGCAAGATTTAATTAATCACCATTTCTAAAAGCTGGGATACAACAGAGCGTCAAAACAAAGTGAAGTTAAGCACGGAGACAGTTGACAGAAGCGATGTTGACAGCGCCTCCTCAGAGCAATAACAGGGTTGTGTCGAACGATAACAGGGTTGGCGACTAGGGAACGTAAAAATTACGCGTCAAATAAACTATCCGGCCCGAACGATAGGAAATCCGGTGATGATAGGCCAGACATTATATATTATATATAAAAAAGACATGTAACGAACTAAAAACGTTACACTATTATTTATGAAGTTAAATCAGTAAAAAAAAATTCAATAATCAACATTTATAATTCATATACCTACTTATTTTAGTTCGTTAAGTCTGTAGGCACATATTTGCAGCAAAATATCAAAATATTGTTCGAAAATTAAACTAGTAGCGTTATTGTCACTAAACGTTATTTCAATTTTTCCCAAAACACACTTTTTGGGGTTACGCTGTTTTTGCGCTGGTAGCCTCATTTGTGAAATAACAAACCGCACACAACTAACAAAGAAAATATAAAGTGATATCAATGAAATGACGCTAACAACAGTTATTAGATTCTATTTTTTTTTTGCTTTCGATATATCTATTCATAGGCATTATTAGAAAGCTTTAAAAGGACGTGAAATAGAGAAAATTTAACAATAAAACAATATGTAAATGGAGGTGAAATGCATCAAACATTGACTGCTCAAAATCTCAGGCCCAAAATATTATTCTGATGTACTAAACATTGTAATTATCGATGATCCTTTTCTTTTTAATAACTATTTTTTAATCAACATATTTTCACAGCTAAATTATACAGGGTGTCTCAAAAAACACGCGCCATCTGTCTTGAGGAAATTCCTCACGTAAAAATAAAATTTATTTTTCATATCAACATAGGTCCGATACTGCTTTGTTTCGTAGCTACAGGGTGTTAAAGTCTTAATATTTTTTTCGATTTATTATAATTTTCTACTAAGTACTTTTAGCGTTTCAAATGAAATTTTGAGGCCAAAAGTTACTATAAATGCGATATATTCTCCAGGGACGTGCATATGGGTTATCACTGGAATATTTTTCTAAAAAAAGTATGTATCCACTAACTTTTTTTCTCTTGTTAGCGAAATAGTGTAAGCAGTTTAATGCCGATTAAAAGTTGTCTCTTGATGTTTTGTCGATTTCGGCCTCCTTCGTGAGATAAACGCAATTTTATTCATTTGCCTTGATCCAAGTTTAATAGCAACCTTTAAAAAAATTTAATATCATTAACTTGCGAAAGTTTTAAATAAGTACTCATTGATTTTTCATCAAAAAATATGAAAAAAGTTCCTATAAACATGGGTTGGGTATGAAAATGTATAGTTTTAGAGTTACATGGATGTTAAAACTTTTTCAAATTAGGTTTTTTGTAATTATCTTAAATACCATTATTTTTTTATTTGAAATTGCTGTAGGTTGGCCTAATAGTAATAATAAGTAATAGTAATAATATTTAATAATAAATTAGGTAAAATAATGAATTTATTAATTTAATTTTTATTTTAATTTTATTAATTGTGATTAATAAAATTGCGTTTATCTCATCAAGGAGGCTGAATTCGACAAAATATCAAGAGGTAACTTTTAATTGGCATTAAACGACCTATTCAATTTTGATATCAATAAAAAAAGTCAGTGGCGCACATGTTTTTTTTGAAAAATATTCCAGTGATAATCCATGTGCACGTCCCTGATGAATACACTTTTTTAGCATTAAAATATATAACTTTTACTTGACTTATAGTAACTTTTACCGTCAAAATTTTATTCGAATTGCTAAAAGTACTTGGAAACTTATATTAAATCGAAATATTTTTAACACCCTGTAGCTACGAAACAAAGCAGAATCGGACCTATGTTGATATGAAAAATAAATTTTATTTTGGGGAACGTGGGGAATCTCCCCACCAAAGATGGCACATGTGTTTTGAAACACCCTGTATAATACATTACCAAGCATATTAAGTTTTAACAGAAACACAACGTATCAATGATTTATTTCAGTTACGTATGAAAACAGGTCATATATTTTACAAATAATACTACTGCTTTTCACATGCAATCATTTTAATCTTTATTGTGCTATGGATACTGTCAGGGGCGGGAAAGTGAAATAGCAAAAGCGGTTCCACCTTTTCCAGGGAAATCTAAAATAAAATAGTTCCAGCCCTAGCCACTAGGTGGTAGTGCAATTAATTTTTAGGTTAAGAAGTTGCTACTAGTTATTGCCAGATGGCGGTAAATCAGATTTTTTGTAGTTTCCATAGTTTCCAACGGCCATTGTCATATTATTGTCAAATTCTCAAAAAATATTGTCGTTGTCATAGCGCCAATCATAATATTATCAAATAAATGATTTTCAAAACGTTTTTCAAACTATAATTTGTTATATGTGTTTTAATTAGACAATTCCTTGTGTTTCTGACCCTAAAAATATAATGTAAGTCTTTTATTTTTGCCATCATTTAAGTACCTATTTATATTTACTCCATTTACAAAACTTTGAGCGTATTACGTTGGTCTTGTTTTATTATAATAAACGATGTTTTATTATTTGACTTATAAATAAGAACTTTAAATAATAAATAATATTTCACATGGTTGGCTTTAATTTTATTTAATAACTGTATAATTATACTGTTAAATCTTATTTTTTACACATCACAACGATACTTGTTATTAGTATTGTTGAATTTGTGTAAAAAATAATATTTAATAATCAAATTTAATTATTTTAGAGTAAAATTCAATAAATACGCTCATTTAAAAAGCCCGCGCTTCGATCCATTTAAAACAAGCCCTACTCAATAGATGGCGCCACTTATGTAGGACCATTTTTCAGTATGGCAAAGTCCATTCTTTTTCTAGCTAGGTATATTCTTTGGATACTGTGTTTTATCTTTCTGTCAAAATGACACTTATACAAAATACTTTTCATTTAAAAATGACTTAAAAATTTACGCAGGAATGTCATTATGGAATTCCAAAGTATAACACAATACATACCTACATTAACTACTATTCAAAACAACGAAGAAATAATCAAGAAGGTATCCTACGTAGTTCTATTAATTCTCTACATAATTGTCATAATTGGATTCATTTATTCACTGCCAGGATCAACAATAAGATTGAAATGGAATAGGTCCTATAAAAAACTTGTGAGTATTATTCATCATAAATGTATACAGAATGTTAATAAATTTGACAATTTTGTTTTAGAAGCGATTTTCAAAAACTACTCTTCCAAAATTGCAAGATACCGCTACTAATGTAGTTCCGGTTGTTAAAGATATGATGCAAATTGCATATTATATTGTAAATCAATTTATGTAAGGCAACGCACACTTTATCGAGAACAATAATTATTCAATAGAGGAATTGTATTGCACGGAATATAAGTTAAGAGATTGTGTACTTTTTATGTTTTCCAAGTATCAATGAAGTAAATAGATTGAAAAACTGTTTTGTATTCTTTCAGAAAATTTGTTGTATAGGTAATTATATTTGAAAAGTCATAGAAAGCTTGTAGCGGGCTTCCCTTGTGCCGAATAGGTCTCCACGCATTCAACACTTTTTTGATTTTTTTTTCGCAAGATTATCTTAAATTAAACATTTTAAAACAAAAAAAATTGTTGGATGAATGTGTTTTTTCTTTAAAAAGTGAAAAAAAAAACGTATTTTGGGTACAGTCGTTGGACAGTAATATGTAAAATTTTCTATACGGGATTCAGTAAAATCATCACATATTAGGACTTTATTACCTTATACAGGGTGTTGCAAAAAACATGTACATGTGCCATCTTTCGTGCGGAGATTCTTCACGCAAAAATAGACTTTTTTTTCGTATCAACATAGGTCCGATTCTGCTTTGTTTCGTAGCTACAGGATGTTAAAGTCTTAATAATCTTTCGATTTATTATAGTTTTCTTCCAAGTACTTTTAGCGTTTCAAATGAAATTTTGAGGCCAAAAGTTACTATAAATGCGACATATTTTAATACTAAAAAAGTGTCGATAACTTCATGAGGGACGTGCATATGGGTTATCACTAGAATATTTTTTAAAAACAAGCCTGTGCGTCACTGACTTTTTTTCTTTTGATATCAAAATTGTATTGTAGTAGTTGTATATTATAATTGTAGGTCGTTTAATGTCAATTAAAAGTTATCTCTTGATATTTTGTCGAATTCGGCCTCCTTGATGAGATAAACGCAATTTTATTAATCACAATTAATAAAATTAAAATAAAAATAAAATTAATAAATTATATATTTTACCTAATTTATTATTAAATATTATTACTATTAGTCCAACCTACAGAAATTTCAAATAAAAAAATTGTGGTATTTAAGATAATTACAAAAAAACAATTTTAAAACGTTTTAACATCCTGTAACACTAAAACTATGCATTTCCATACCCATGTTTATAGAAACTTTTTTTCATATTTTTTTTATGAGTAATCAACGAGTACTTATTTAAAACCTTTTTTTAAAGTTGCTATTATAGTTCAGTCATTAGGGATCAAAAAAGGGGCCTGCTTGGAAAAAAGTTCGGAAGTTTTGAAACTTTGCAGGTTTATAGGTTTTGGGGTCCCTAACTAAAATCTATAAAATGCACATTTCCAGACTTGCCGCCGGCGCCGCCATCTTGCCAAGATGACGCCCAAAATCGGTATTTTGTAAATATCTCGAAAACTATCCGTTCTGCGCAAAAATTTTAAGAGAGCAAAATTAAAGAGAATAAAATTTCCTATAAAAAGGTTATATGAAAATTTTCGATAAAGTCAACCGTTTGGGCACAAAATCCTGGGAAATTTTACAATTTTGCGTAAAGTATGATATACATATAGTCGATTTTCCGAAATCAAATGTCGATTAGTGTTCACTAAAACTAGTTTTAGTTTAGTTTCTTCAATTTCGTCATAAAACAGTGGCGTCTCATTAATTCGCTCATTAATTTATGTATAATTAATTGTCGTGCTGCACAGCATTCATTGCGAACTTACCACCAGGTTCAGCATTGGTCTGGTTGTACCAAAGATGCCGAAGAGGGTTGGAAGAAAACAAAAACAGGCATTACTCCAGTCACAACGTTGAAAGATCCAGCTTCAAAATCCCTATTGGCATTTTTATCCTGTAAATGCAAAACCAACAACTGTGGTAAAGCCTGCGGATGCAGAAAAGCAGGATTAAAATGTTCAATGATTTGTGCATACTGCAATGGGAAATCCTGTGACAACGTCACTGAAGTGTCACTCGACGAATCCGATGAAGAGGAGTTGGACTTGCCTGTAGATATCCCTCTGGCGGCTGAAAATGAAGAGTTGGACGTATTGAAAGACCACCTTGATGAGCCCAGCACAGCAGACACGTTCGACTTTGACATCAATGAGCCAGATCCGTTGGGCTTGTGCAGATAAGTTAAAGTTTTTAATTTATCTAGTGGAATAGGTCTCCTGGGAGACCACGTTAAAATAAACGCGCCATGTACTTTACTTCTTGGGTGGAAAACAACTTGAAACAAGTACACATTTTCAATAATTAAAATTAATTATTCATAAATTAATGAATGAATTAATAATACGCTACTGTTTTATGACAAAATTGAAGACACTAAACTAAGACTAGTTTTAGTGAACCCTAATCGACATTTGATTTCGGAAAATCGACTATACATAATATATCATATTTTACGCAAAATTGTAAAATTTTCAGGGATTTTGTTCCTAAACGGTTGACGTTAAATTTTCTTTTCTTTATCTTATTTGCTCTCTTCAAATTTTCGCGAAAATGCATAGTTTTCGAGATATTCACAAAATACCGATTTTGGGCGCAATCTTGGCAAGATGGCGGCGCCGGCGGCAAGTCTGGAAATGTGCATTTTATGGATTTTAGTTAGGAACCCCAAAACCTATAAACCTGCAAAGTTGCAAAACTTCCGGACTTTTTTCCAAGCAAAAATCCCCAAAGACTGGACTATTAGACTTGGACCAAGGCCAATTGATAAAATTGCGTTTATCTCATCAAGGAGGCCGATATCGACAAAATATCATGAGACAACTTTTAATCGGTATTAAAACTACATTTCTGCAAAAAGACTGCTTGTTTTCGGCCATTCTGCAAAATGCCTAATGATGACTAGTCAGATTTTCCAAAACATTTTATGCGGGTTTGGTATATCTAACCTAAGTTTATCTAAAATATTTCCAAATCCATCCATATATCCAAACTTTTCCATATATCATCACCAAACCAAACCAAACCTAAGTTTATCTAACATATTCTGAATAAATTTGTTTCGAAATGATGGACACAACAGGAAATAATGGAACAAAATTGATTTTATTCATGAGAGTGGTATCAAAGATGACTATTATCATGGATTAAATTTATTTTATTCTAAAAGAGAGTAGAGTTCCACAAAGAAGCCCTGGACTCAAAAGCGAATTACAGAGGTAGACATAATTAAATAATTATTATTTTTTACTTATTAAGTGAAGTAAATATTCCAATAATTTTTTAAAAAATTAAGCCCACTTATACTAATTTTAAATGTATTATATTACAACTTTATATACCGTTATGCGAAAGAATAACATTTTCTGTCATAAAATATTTTTTCCGCAGTAAAATATGTGATATTCTTATCAATAAAAATACCACATATTTTACTACAGTAAGCTTATATTATTCAATATGCCTATACGCAATAATGCTGCTATTTTTTAATCTGCTTGGCCTAGATTTGGCATTTGGTAAAATGACTGACAGTGTGAATGGCAGTCTTTTTGCAGAAATATAAAGGAAATATTGTCATTGTTTAATATGACTATGTCTGATTAGGCCAAATACATTTAAATTTACATATACCGCGGCCTCCCCATAAGAGCAATGAGAGAATTTATGTCCCAGGATTGAAGGACAGAAGATCGAGTTTGACATAAGTCCATCCTTGTTCAGTAGCTGGATGTAATGCACATGCGCCGAAATGCTACTTTTCTATTGGCCGAATGGTGTCGAGATGGGTTATCGATTTATTTTTGGACGCGTCGTCGGCGTGGATTTTCTTTTCAGTTTGGACTTGGGCAGTCGCCATTAGCTGTGCCATTAGTGTCATTAGTGTTTTCTCTAACTTTCTGTGTTTTCCACGTGTACTGTGTTTTCGTTTGTATTTTAATCTTTGTGCGTTTATTGACAATTTTGTGATTTAGTTTTAAAGACTTTTGCTGTAGTTTAATTAATAGAACAATGGGAATGGGCTACTGCTTTTTGTGTGGTAGAAGCCAACTAACAAAATTAATAATAGAAATTTTTCTCGATGTTCGTTTGTATCATGAAAGCAAAATCAGAAAAAAAGGGATGTTAATATAAGACAAAAATATACGAAACTAATTTATTCAAAAATCAATAATTGTTAAAAGCATTATATTTAGTCTTACTATTTTAAAATAAAAAAGACATTATAATGTAAAGACTAAAAATAGAGACTACATAAGGCTAATTATAATGCTTACACAGTTACACACATACTGTCTTATTGTAAATTATTATTGTTTTTTTTTCATAATATAAAAGAGTATTTACAATGCAACAATGTAAATAATTATATTTTTTGTATCTAGCTTGATTTATGTATAAACTTATATGTACGTTATATTTGTTTAATAAAAAATATGTTAATAATAAAGAATTACTTTTGTTTCATTTTAAACCAGGACTGATGTTGATTATTGATCATAAATACCATGGGCAGTAAAAGAAACAATAGACAGTAAAAAATGTACTGTTATACTTTGTTTTGCTGCAATTTTTAAGTCGAGTGAAATAGATATGCAATTTGTACTACAAAGTTTTTAAGACAGTTCCTTAATTGAGGTTTTACTAAATTATTTTTTGAATTTTAAAAAAAGTGAAATAGATATGCAATTTGTACTACGAAGTTTTTAAGACAATTTCTTAATAATTGTGGTTTTACTAAATTATTTTTTGAATTTAAAAAAAATATTGTACCTGTGACTTTTTTTCATTCGTTTTATTTAATAATAATTGTCTAACACAACAAAGTCTACTTAGAACGATATGATATAAATATAAATGAGTTCATTAAAAAATGGCCTAATTAAAATTAGTACCTAAATAAGCAAAAATTATTCCCTCATAAAACAAGAAATTAAGGAGTTCAGTAAAAGGATTGCAACTATATATTTTATTCAGTAAATTTTCATAATAGTAAGTATAAAAGCACAATCTCTAAAACGACAATATGAATAATGTATATTAAGATTTAACTCGAGTTTCAGTGAAAAACTATATTGATATTAAAATATTTTAATACCTTCAGAATACTAATTACATACCATAAAATAGGAGTTTTTACGATGCGGGAAGCCTATCTAGAAAAAGAATTTTAGAAATCAGCAATGGGATTCTGTAAGCTCTGTAGCAAGAAATTTCCTATCGA